TCATCACATGAAAACTAAAAACCATCAGTTCCAGATGGAAATCTTCTGCGTACTTTTGTGTAAGTGAGTGAAAGTACTGGTCGTAGTACTGAGCCCTGCGGAACGCAGAGTTCAGCATAGCCATCTGATGAGTACACCCATATATACTAAGTGACATATAAATCCGAACACCCGGTTTAAATGGTTTTATTTTAATAAAATTTTGTATAAGTACTTAATGAAGCATAATAAGTAAATGATAAAATTTCAAAATGATTGCACGCTTTAAAGCCCTTTGACCTTTAATAATGTGTGGATGCACCCTGATGTGCATTCTCGAACGCGCCTAGGCATGCTTCTGATCAGGTGGTCAATGTCCTCCTGTGGTATCTCATTCCAGGCAACCACCAACTCCTCTCGAAGTGCTTCTAGAGTCTGAGGAGGACGTTGCAAATTGAGCAATCTCCTACCCATCATATCCCACACGTGCTCAATTGGGGATAAGTCGGGAGATCTTGGTGGCCATGGTAACAATGTGACATCATTATTTTGAAAGAAAGTCTATTGTGACTCTTGCAACATGTGGCCGGGCATTATCTTGTTGGAAAAGTTGGATCTGCCAGGGTGTCAAGATAGGGTAAAAGATGGGGTTCTAGAACTTCGTGGATATAACGCTGCGCGTTCGTTACCTCTGATGAAGATTAAAGGTGACCTGGAACCATAAGCTATAGCACCCCAAACCATAACTCCAACAGTGTGATGAACATGTCTTTCAACAAAAAACTGTGGATTCCTCCTTTCATCACGTCGCCTTCTAACCCTGGCACGACCATCGTGCATGCCTAAACAAAATCGAGACTCGTCACTAAAGACAATATGTTCCATTCCTGATCCCAGAGTGACCGTTGTCTGCACCACTCAAGGCGGTTATGTCGGTGTTCTCGAGTAAAGGGAGGACCCAGTGTGGCCGGTATGAAAACAAGCCAAAACTTATCATTTGTCGGTAAACACTTCGCATGCCAATAGGTCTTCCGTGTTCTGCAAACCATTCATTTGCAATGGACCTGGTAGTGGAGAACCGGGCCCTTAAGGCCAATAATCTTAGGCGGCGATCTTCTCGGTCTGTTGTTCTATGGCGGCGTCCAGTGGCCCCTTGCTCTTTGCGTACGGCCTTCTCGAAGCGATGCCTGACAACACCTAACCACAGTGTCTACACTTCTTTGCTCTCTAACTGCAATTGCCCGAAAAGAAAGTCCAGCTTCCCGAAGTCCCACTATACGGCCCCTATCAAACTCACTAAGTTGACGAAATCGTACAGGTCTCCGTACTCTAGGCATCGTAACCGCTCGTAAGGATGTCAAGAACCAAAATCCGCCAACGTTGATTCTTTACTGCGGCTGAAATATTCATTTTTAGAGCGTTAGTGAATTAAAAAAAAGCAGTATAAAAACCGGAATGTCCAACTGATAAGGCTGAAAATTTTTTCACTTGTTATTTACAGTAAGATAAATACATTCACCAACTTTTATTAAAATAAAACCATTTAAACTGGGTGTTCGGATTTATATGTCACTTAGTATACTTATAACCTGGGTTTTCTGCTTAGCGCTCGGAAGCTTTTTACAAAGCCTGGATTAAAACCAGCTTGGAATACTGTTCACATGTCTGAGGATCCGCTGCCTCTGTTACGTGCGTGAATACTATATGTCTGCTAAGAATCTGTGTAATCATGTAAGATTGAGGTGGTCATTGATCTTATTATAAACTAGGAACTAATCATTTGTACAGCCACGAGCCGTCTGAGCGTTCCAGGCCTCTTGCCAGGTCATTGATATTTTAAATCATCTTCCCATATTACTCAAGTTCACCCAGTTTTGTGCTCCTATAACAGCTAATGACGTTAACGGAATTTTTATACTATAAAAGTTTTCTTGGCCCGTCTGTAACTTAGAAGATACTGCTCGGATGTTGATGAAATTCTTACACAAGGTTACTACTGTGCCACGGATGGAAAATTTTTGTAGTTTTGAAAATAAATCCAGTGGTGGCGGAGAAAAAGACCAAAAACGAAAAAACCACTTAAACTCTCGTTTTTTGTCGTTTCAAAGGATCATGATCATATTTGAATGAATTCAGGTGTGAAATAACGAGTAGAAGTTCACCAGTTTTATGCGAGTATGAAGATATTTGTGCAATGATGAATCTCATCTATTTTAGCAGCGTTTCCTCAATACCAGGCGTACGAAAGTTGTCGTGGATTATTTGGAATAAAATAAATTCAGAATGGCTTTTCTCCAATTAGATTCATTATATTACTTGACGAGCTTTAATGGTTTCCATAGCCAACCACTAGTAAATCTACCAGAATATGCCTGTTTATTCAGACACTACCTATACAGGGTGTTCCTTAATGTTATTCGAATATTTAAGGGTGTGAATCTATATGAAAAATTAGTGTTGGTTTGCTCTATAAACTATGGTCCAAAAATGTTTCCTTACAAAAACTCGTGGTGTTGAAGTTTTAGGAAAAAAATGGAAATTAATATTTTCAGAACCGATTCAGATATTTCACTGATATTTAGTACGTAGTGAAAGTTAATAAAGTTGCATATTTTTCAATGCAAAAATAAGTTTTAGCTTTAACAGTGGCGTGTGTATGAGTATTGACTTCGATATTTCTTGAGAAAAAAACAGCATTTTTGAACCGTAGTTTATAAAGCAAACTAACATTAATTTTTCATGTAGATTTACACCCTTAAATATTCGCATATCATTAACACCCTGTATATTGTGTATTCAAAGCCCATACTTTCAGTGTATTCCAAATCAACAGTGCTTTTTAGCACTCATATTCATTCTTTTCTACAGCCAGGGTACAGGAATTTTCATAGCCAGCAAACAATACAGATACTAGAGCGTTAATATCCGTTTTCGTAATCAATATTCCAAATTACCCCAGTGTGGTTCGCTTGTAACAGGGGATGACAAAAGGAAATCTTAGCTTAGCTTAGCTTCTGTTACAGAAAATTTTCAAATCTTCTTGTGTATTTACAGTCCATGCCAAAACCCTTTTTTGAATAAATCGGTTCCGTAGATCACGAATATGATGCCTCTTTTGATTGCGCGAGGCCCCTATATCAACCTTTTCTTGTAATTGGCCTTCTCGCCACTTTAGCATTTTCTAACGGCCAGATATTGGAACGTGGCTAAAATGGTCGATAATAATCCTTGTATGCATCTTGCATGACATAAAAATTACTTTCCATTGCAGCACAATGCATCCACCCAATAATAATGAAAAATGTATTTAAAAATCGTGAGGAAAAGATTGATTCGAGGTGTAGAAAATCGGATTACGTAAGGTGGCACAGATTTATGCATGTCTATATGATACTTATTTTATAATAGTTCCTGCTATCGAAGATAATAATGATTACATGCATTGTTTGTCACGACATGCCTCAATCGGATTTCTATTTGTAAAAACATTCTGTGATACGACTAGTTACTTATAAAATAATTGCAGGCGTGTACGTAATATGAACTTCACTTCTTGGTAAGTTTATAGCAACTAAATACACGTATTTGACATACAGTCTCGAACGAAGTTTTGACAGATTATTACTTATAGGATATACGGTGACTAAATCTGTCTTCCTAGTACGGTGGTACCGCAACATATTTCACATATCGTCAGAACGTTTGCAACATGACACCTGTTGTTGCAAAACCTTACTCTAAAAGTAT